AATTGCAATAAACGAAAGTGATGATTTCGGCTACTACTAAAGATTTTCGACAATTTATACAAAAAAAACAAACTAAACAAACTAAAAACAAAACAAACTCACATTTTTGAAGTTTAATCTTAAATGCAGAGACTAGCGCTAAAAATCTACAAATGCATTAAATGGGCATTTGACACAAATTATTATTTGTATCTTAGATGTAAATGACGTATGTCTGTATTTCGTAGATTGATCTTTGAGTGATTAGTATATTATATTAGTATATTAGTAATATTAGTGTATTAGTAGTTTGATATAGTTAACTAAGTAATTTATAAATATATATATATAAATTACTTAGTTAACTATATCATATAAAATATCATATATATATATATATATATATGATATTTTGTAAAACTAATAGTACGTATACGATGTGTAGTGTATATCCAAAATTATGAGATTAGAGCCATGTTGCTTCGTATTAACTTTGATTAGAGAGATGACATATTATGCTATTATATTTCGAAGTAATGATATGCTGACATTAATCCTATGACATACATATAATTATTGTTGGGTGTAATTTCGGGCATACATTTAATTACAAGTCGCGACCATTGTACAGCGGCGCGAACTGTATAAAAGGAGTAACTTTTCTCCAGAGGGCCGTAGTCAATCTTTGTCCTTCATAAGGACGAGTGTCGGATCTAGTTGTTTGGTTTGGAGAAGAGGTAACCGGATATATCGTGAGGTGAGTCGATAGATTCTTTCAACTTGTTTTCCTTTAATATTTCAAAACAATTATAATAATATATCACACGGTGAAAGAGAGTAGTCAAATATTTCCCAAATAAGCAGATTTTTACATATATAATCATTTTATACATATTATTCAAAGTATTACTATTTATTTTTTTGGGCGCCTTAGCAAAAAAGAACATTGGTTTTCGGTTGATTGTTGCCAAAAAATCTGTTCATTTTAAAATTATATACTTTTATAAAATTAACTAGCTGGCCCGGCAGACGTTGTTTTGCCATATAAATTATTTCTAGCGAATTTAAGAATTTGAACACATGGAAAAAGAATTTTAAGAACGCACGCATAAAATGTTTGACAGGTAGGAACAGTTTGTATTGAAAACAGTTGCTATTTGATTTTCCATTCAATTTTTTCATAATTTCTCGTCGTTTAAACCTTCCCCAAACTGCAAAAAATATTTCCAAACCAAAATTAACCAAATCAGTCAAGCCGTTCTCAAGTTTTAGCAAGGCTAGCGAATAGCAATTCATTTTTATACATGTAAGATTATAACGTAACTTTCAAATGTTGCGCATATTTATCTACATTTTTATTAACACAAATATGCGGTACAGAAAAAAGTTTAATCACCTAATAAAGTCTCAATCGTCAATTTTTTTTCAAAAAATAGTACAGACTATATGCAGATATGTACAGACATATGAAAGTATGATATTTTATGTTCAGTATACGGAAACAACTTTTTTTGCCAGCGCCGTCTTAAACAATTTGCCATATTTTTTTTTATTATTAATGTTTACACTAATCTTGTATAAAATTAAAAAAAAACTTTCCGTACTTTCATATTAAACATAACGATCTGCAGTAACTCTGTAAAATCTGCAGTCCCGAAGTGCAGTTCTAATATTGAAACGAAGTGCATTCCCCAGAAAAATAGATTCGATGGGAAAAGGTTTGGACGAAGCCAGAGTTGTAGGATTGTTCGAAGTTATATTTGAAAGTTGTCAAAGCACTTAACATCCAATGAACCATTTTCTTTAACGCAGTATCGCGCACATCAGTAAACAATATGCAGGCGCCACCTGTTGCAGATCGCTAAATGTTCCCAAAATAAAACAGAAGACGAGTCTTTTGCACGTAGGGTTGTCACGAGCCTATTAAGCTCTCGATTTACCGTCAGCCCTGTAATTACACAATTAACAATCCACTCCAGTACAACCCTTTATCTATAACCTGTATTACATTCTTTTGGAGCCGTAAATAAGTTAGGGTTAGCTATTTTTAGCGACAAACAAAAACATGCAACAGCTTTTTTTAGTTTCGTCACTCAGATTTCCTTTTTTCTTTTGGTCTTATAAATACAATCAGCCACTTAACACGAACATAAACGACGAAATATACAGAAAATATACAATACGAAGCCTTTAGTCGGATAGAAAGAAACTGAAAATAACAGCCTATATATATCCCACTTGTGGGCAAAGGCCGCCTCTGAAAAGACACTCTGTTAACAGGGTATGCCCATGCGACCCGCGATTGGCGGACTTCACATAATTTTCTTCGAAATATTTTCTTTTGTTATTATTATATTGTTATTATTATTAGACGGTGGTAGGGCCACGCAGCAGCCTCGGCTGTTGCACGAATGAGCAGGCTCGTCCGGGTAAGTACCACGACCTCACAGAAGACCGGCGTAAAGTGAAAATATGACAAATACTTTCGCGTTTCATCTGGTGAGTTAGGTAGCCGGAGCCCAATTTTCAAAAGGTTAAATTTTCAAAACGCATTTGTAACCCTCGGGTGTGGCAGATGTCCATGGGCGGCGGTATTCACTTAACATCAGGTGAACCGTATGACAACTTTTCGCATAAAAAAATCGAAAATATGCACGTCATAAGGTAGCGTCATAAGGATCGAACTCAAGTAGCTCAAAATAAAAGTGAGCACCCCGACAATGAGCAGCAAAAGATTTATATATTGAAAGAACTCCTATAGAAATGGGTTTTTAAATAAAAATTATTTTTAAAAAAAGCTGTTAGACATCAATGACCATATGTTTGCTATCGGCAGGATCGAATTTATGTTTATAAAATACTTTTAAGTTTAAATTGGGCTCATTTCCATGCAGATTAACGCCTAAATGAACTTAACATCAACTGTTGACTCGGCTATAACCTAATGCGGCTATAACCTGATGTTTCAACTGAGCCACATATAGACAGAGTAGCAGAACATCCTCCTTCTTCACGTACTCCGCAGTCATGTCCACCTCGTCCACTGCTTTTTGTTGGTCAGGTTCGATCTCCCATAGGCCACTTTGCATTACGCCATATAAGTTGTTCAGAAATCTAGTGTACTTTTTGTGTGATTTGATGTTGGCCAAGGTTGGGGACCAAAAAGCTGGTCACACCTTGATTTGTCCCATCACGCTACGCCGCATTTATATGCTTAAAATATTCCCCGCCGAGTCAAAATCGAAATCGAATTTTTATTCTTTAAGGTTGAGTTTGTAAGGAAGTCAATAAATAAAGTTCATCCAAGTGACTAGCTCGATTATGCGGTTCTCCGCTTTCTTTCTTCGTGGTTGGCTCAAGACCACACGCTAGTCTAGGTTGTAAGTTACACGCTGCATAAGTCGGCGTGCCGTAAGTTTATTTTTACCAAATAAAAAATAATAATAAGAAGAATAAAAAGTGAAAAGGCATATTTGACATCTTAGACATTATGCGATGGTTATAGAGATTGTGTTACATACAGAGATCGCATGTCACTGAAGTAACATTTGATGTATCCGAGATCAAACAACGCTGTTAAGTTCCAAACTATTTTCTATCCGATAACAATGTATCGTTTCCAAAAGATATTGGGCTCATGGTAAAAATATACATAGTTAGATTTAAATATTACGTTTAGCTTTGATTATTTTGAAATTTCAAATCTTTTGTTAATACAACAAGCTGCTAGCTAACCAATTATGGTTGATACACAAACTTAATAGGCTGTTTATGAAAGTGTTGATCTTTCTCTTCTGGCCGCGTGAAGAAGCTCAAAGTCGATCGGCGAGCGAGCTGTGCTCGGTATTCCTCTGCCTGAAAGAGTTTGCAGTAGAAACATAGCTAAGAGGCTTGGTAAGCTGATGTGACAATGGGCCGGTCCAGTCGATCGAAGAACATATACAGCGTGTCGTGACCACCGCGACAATAAATGAACACACGTCTAACGCTCCTTGCCAATAATCATAAAAAATATTAATGTTAAAAAAATCAATAATTAAAAAAAATATTTTTCAAACAAACTAATTAAGTAAATAAGAAACAAAATTTGTAACATCCTATACAACTACAACTGACTGATTCATACATTCAGAGACTTTTTCATTCGTTGCCGAATCGTTGCATTACAAGTTTCTCCTTCTAACAGTATATTTTATCTCTTTTAAATTCATTCAACCCATTCATATGCTTTGTGACCTTTACAAATGAACTTTACGTTACAGTTTTATATGTATGGGTGTTTTAAAATTGTTTGTTTTGGAAAATTTAATAACTTCGTAAATATTTTTGTTTAAAGAATGTAAATGTTTAATACAATTTTAAAAAGTTATCCTCTATATGCGTGTTAATTTACTGTCGCGATTGTAAAGACACGCTGTATAATAATAATAATAACTTTAGTAATTTTATATTTTCGAAACTTGAAGCACTTTGACGGGGCTAATTGAAGAAAATCTCAAGTTGAACATCAATTAAATTTTCTTGTGCCATAAAGACATAGAAATAACAAACGCCTGAGAAATGTTTCGAAATAAACCGAGGACGAATTTCGTCTAATTTGACCGTAATCAAGTTTGATGAATATGTATCATAATTTATCAATGTATGTTTTCAGTCTACCAACATTTTGACTTTTATATAAAATATTTCATTGTAACTATATCTGAGAGCCTGATTTTAGTAATTACAATCCATACTCATATTAGAAATATGAAAGTGTGTTTGCTTGTTTGCTTTTCTTTCACGTTACAACGGAGCGCTGTTGTGGTGTGATTTTTGTGTATGGAGATAGTTAGGAGGGGCCGGGCTTAGGGGGAGTGTCATAGACTACTTTTTACCGCGGTAAAACATCTAATTTCCAAGGGGACGAGATGTTTTACCACGGCAAAAAGGAGCCTCAAGATGCTACTTAGTAGCTGTTAAGATGCAATGCATTTGAATCACTAGTATTGAGTGTACATTGTTCATTTTCAGAGGCCACGATGGTGACCGGTACAGCGGTGCTTCTGCTTTTCGTCGCCGTCTTTACGGTGAGCGCGCAGACCTTCCAGTACTCGCGCGGCTGGACGAATGGCAAGCGGGACGGCGGCAGGAGGCACCAGGTAGCTGGTGACGTCACCGACCCCCTTGACCGGCCACTGACCCCGTGCCACCTTCGCAAGCTCAAATACCTACTTGAGGGGAAGCCGTTAAACGAAAAGGTGTGTATGGCTTTCAGGACTGTGCGAAAACTAATCGAGTGTTTCGACGTCATTTTTAACCGACTTCAAAAAGGAGGTTCTCAATTCGACTGTTTTTTTATGTTTATTACCTCAGAACTTTCGACTGAGTGGACCGATTTTGATGATTCTTTTTTTTTTTTTTTTTTTAAAAGCTGGTGCTTAGCACAAGCGTCGTATCCATGGTTTTTTTAAATGTCCATTGAAAAAATATCATTTGAGAAAGTTATTTGCTGTAAATAATGCATACTAGATAAATTTTAAAATGACTCCGTGGCGCAGTTGCCAAGGTATTTGCTTCGGCTTCGGAAGTTATGGGTTCGATCCCCACACGGGACAACTATTTGTGCGACCCACAGATAGTTGTCTCGCATCTGGCTGTTTGTCCGTGTGAAATTTATGATTGCAAAAAGTCCTCACAACACAGAATAATGTTATTTTAAAGTAATGGCCATGTTTAAATAAACTATTAAATTAAAAACATATCACGTAGGTCTTCTCAGAGTTATGTATAACGTCCTGTTTTAGTTCTACGCCCCGTGCGAATACCACGAAGACGATGTCGACGCGCAGCATAAGAGCTACAGAGCCGAGCACGGCCCCGAGCCCCTCTTCGAGGTGTTTCAATGAGAAACAAAATCAACACGAGCATAATTTACGAGAAGCGAACGAAAATCGAATTGATTTTTCTTTACGTCATGATGTTATCTTAGAATTTACTTGCGTTTATGCCGGTTGTATTATTCAACAAAAGCGGTGGATGTTATTATTAATATGAGTATTCACTCATATTAATTTTATAAAGACGCCAAATGCTAGTTTGTAATGTATAATGTGTTATCTATCGTGTTTATTTATTAATTATGTTTAGCATCACACTCACCTTTACAACAACTTAAATTAACAGTTTGTTAAGGTGTAATAAGAATTAATTAAAGGAAGAAGATAAGAAAATCATTGAAAAAATAAAAGTATACAATAAACGAATGTAAGTCGTCAAAAATTTTGTTTATTTTAAAATATTTTTTGTTAATTGAAACATTTTAAAAGTTAAAGTAAACTAAAACGAAACTGTTAAAATATATCATATTTTGAAATCGTTGATTTATTTTGTTATGCATAATTATATAATATATTTTTAATCTTTATTCAACTGTCATGTTCTTACTTCTACCAATATAATATTTTTTGCCATTTATTTCTGTGTTTCCTAGTTTACATTTGTAAAAATGTATTATTCCATATCGTTTCGGTAATTAAAATTCACTCTGTTGAGACTGCCAACTCATCATTTTCGGATATTTTGCGTTAGACGTTTTGTTTTTCGTCGGAGTTTTCGCGGCAATCTGACCTATTGCTGAATCACAGAGTACTTTCTAGAGTAGCACTACCTGATTCCTCCCCTGTCTGTCATTACTAGTTTAAACACAATGATACGTTGTTAGGACCGCAGCAGCGCACCGCAGATGGTAATAATTTGTCATTTTTGCCTTTGTCAGCTGATTGACAATAAATAACCTAGTGAAATGAAGTTGTTCTCATTAAAAAATCATACATTCAATATAATTTTTGATAAAGAATGTATCATAACGCCATCTGTTGACAACTTGTTTAAATGAAAGATTAGAGAGAAAGTGTTAACTAAAAAACGTAATTCTACAAGAGAAACCTTTCGTTGATTAATACTTATTTTATTTACACATAATTATATAACCATTCATAGTTTACTTAATTTAAGTAAATCCATAAATTACGTAAAAAAATTATTTAAGACACTCGTACATAAATACTGAAGCAATAAATTAATATACTACGTAAAAATAAAAATCTGTTTATTTTCGTGGAATTTAATTTTTCGTTACAACAAAACTAAACAAAATTAAGGAATTAATTAACGATTATTTATCAATCCTGATTGCTTTACTGTTGTTTTCTTGTTATAAAATAACGTAAATAGAAAACTAATAGAGCGCACTTGTAATAAAACTTCTATCACTATTCGCTATACGACAATTGAACTCAAAGCGACGAACGTAGTGATTTACACTGATGTTTTGTTAAGAAATACTTACGTAAGAACTGTCAAATAATAACCTCGTTGGAATAGAAGCACCGATAAAGAAACAAAATAATAGTATAATAATAATAAATAGCAAAATCATCACAATTAACATAATCTATCTAATAATACAAAGTAGGTTGTACTGAAAACCAAACTGCAAGTTTGGAAATTGCTTTTAAGAAGCAATTTGATACAATTTGATTAAGGAACACTCACAAAATCGTGTGACGCAATTTAATCCACTTGTAAGGAGTTCAAATAATTGAAAACTATTAACCAAAATTATACTGTTAATCAAAAGCAACAGCAACAGCTTATCAATATCGTATCTAGCATTTGTGAAAATAATTAAATGAATGTTGAAGAAAACTATGTGTGTATAATTTATGTACGCACATAATTGGTTGCTTCTCAATACATTTATTGTAATGTTTTGTATATACGTCATAACCTTAATTACCTAAAGAATAGTGACAGACATAAAATAAACTCTAGAAATAAGGACAAACTTACTACGCCATTGTTTCGTCTACAAAAAGTAAATAAGTCGTTCATGGGGCAAAGTGTGCGCATGTATAATAAACTCATATTATACCATTTCGGAATATCTCGACGACGCCAATGTGTGGAGTTAATACTGTTGATACTCACGTAGGCTAGAATAAGACTATTATACCTGTATATTATATTGTACCCTGATATTTTTGAAAAAGAGCAACTGTTGAGTTTCTTGCCGGTCTCTTCTCAACAGAAACCGCTTTCCGAACCGGTGGTACCTTACGAACCTATACACATAATCTTTGATGTAAAATTTGACGACTCATAAGAGCGCGCAAGCGTTTATTTGAATAAATGTATTTTTGATTTTGATTTTGATTTTGATAAGAAGTTATACTTATTTAGCATAAATACATTAAATGAAATTGATAACGGGTTATTTGAATAACTTGTTATTGGTTGCCAAGATTTGGTTACCAAGCAGCATGTCGCTTTTTTAGGGTTGGTGTGCGGGTGCATCGTAAAAAAAATTACTCTCATAATTTTTCCAAACGCTCCAAAAGAAGTAATAAAACTTCAAAAAGATGAATAATATTAAAAAACAATTTCAATAAGAAGAGTTCGTTAAGCCGTAGTCTACAATAATTTTTGAATTTCAATCGTAAAGTACTTTACATCTTTTCGAAGAAAAGGACCAGAATAGTAGGAAGATTCATTAGTTTCTTTTTTCCTTACTTCCTTAATATTAATGTACAGTTATTATAGTTTATAAAGTATTATAGTTTTTTATATCCGAAACACCCACGACCCACGATCGTAGTGCTGATTTACTGTGATTATTATTCTTTAAAATTAAGATAGTTCGATAAATAAAAAATATAGCAAGAACATAGGCAGTAATACTCATTACACTGATTTAATAGCTTCAGTCCAGTAATATTAAATGGAAATGAATAAAATACTAATAGGTGTGAATGAGTGAGTGAATTCGATAAAACAATATAAAGAAAAACTCAACAATCTTTTGAAATACATTACATTGTATCATGTAGGTATTGGAAGCAGAGGTAGGTACGCTACAAGACATGTTTTCTAGTTCTGTTTATCGATTACCATAAATGCTAACTGTTGTTTGAATCAGGCGCCATCTTTTGAAATATTGTCAAACAACGTCTTAAAAGATTGCTGTAGACTCTGCTAAGTCACGAATTATAAGTAACATATTCATGTCAGCGTCATCTTTCATGAGTGATAAATAAAATTTAATTACGAAGACATATCCTGCCCTCTAGTGTTAAAAAGTATATTCTAATTGTTAATTCTTTTTAGCGGTAGATGGAGCTAACCTGTTTCGTGCGATCTATGACAGGCTGAAATGTATCATCATAATCTTATTGTGATGAAACAGTAGTTTTTCATGTTAAGATTTTCACATCCTTATGTTGTAATTTCAGATCGATTTTGCTGTTGTGATGCCTTGGTAACAACTTGAATTTTTTGTACAATGAAAGAATGAGACACATCAGATTGCTCTTTATAATAAAATCGAATCTAGTTTTGTGTTAGCTTAAGCAAATCAATCTTTTTTTGTTAATACAAATTCAGTAGACTTCATTGCATTTAATTCTAACTTAAAAAGTGGAATGTTTAATTTATTTTATCAATTTTTATGGTTGTTCTCGTGGGACCAAGTAGCTGTATGAACGAACAAAAATGTCCTGTTTTACCACTTTAAACAGAGGCTTCAGTTACATACTTTAAACAAAAAACTATGTAAGTATCGAGATTGTAAAGTAAAAGCATAAATATGATATACTCGTGTACCTGTGGATGAAAATGAGTGCGATCCCTCTCTGTTTGAAACAGCCTATCACAAATTAATGTCGACAATAAATAATTTAATGTACATCAATTTTATTGAATATATTTATAACATAATGTTTCAGTCCTGAATCGTAACAACACAAATTATATTACCGTATATTAGTTAAATAACATTCCAGCTTTACGGTTTCATTCACTCATGTACGAGAAACCGTCATTCGCTCATCAGTCGTGGTCTGTCATTACATGAAATTGTATACATGTTTAATCTGTTCCATCGGTGACGTGTCGTTAAAAAATCAACCGTATCGTGCCGAGCTAAGTTCGAGATTGCCCTGTAGATAGTTGTAGTGATGTCCAATGTATGTAATTCGTGTTTCATCTATCATTCGTAACAAGCGCCTATTATGGTCATTTCGAGCATCGATTTGTAATATCGGCGCATTTATGTGGAATTAAGTTTCATGGATGATGGCATTGAAATAAGGGGTGTTTTTATACGGCTTAAGAGCATTTGTTGATATCGTTTTGGACCGATCAGAACGATTCGTTAAGTGAAAATTGATCATTATAACGATGTATCGTCGCTGAGACCAGTTTAAGAGTACCTTATCCTTAAAATGAGCACCATTTTAAAAGTAATCTTAAACTGATCGCGTCCTTCGATTTTACGTTTATGTATTTAACGTAGACGATTTCGTAACCATCTAGAAACGTGTATTGGATCGTAGACATATGCTGTTACTTACTAACTATATATTAGCATGCTCAAAACATTAGAAAATCATATCATTATGTAAGTTATCTATAATACGTGAAGTAAAAACTTTTTACGAAAATTGCGCAGACGGAGGAGTTTTTTTTTTTAATTCTGCATAAAAATATCTTGAATCAATATGGAAAACATCACCCTCAACCATGTATGTAACACACACGCATATATACTACACACAATAAATTTGTTTATCGTGTATTGTATTTGAGAATGAATTAATATTGTTTATCGTCGAATGTTTATGTCGAATTTCGACCACTCGGCGTCCACTAGTAATATATAAAAAAATGTATGCAAGTTCTATTACAAAGCATATTCTATACGGAGAATATTACGGCAAAGTCGTCACGCGGCCCCAGAGCTATTTTTAGTACTTTACATATCTTCAAAATATACCTCAGTGGTGCAGGTTTACCAATATTTATCCATCGAGCACGTGCAAACTCATAACTGAAAATTGGAATTACC